AAACAGTACGTAGGTTCGCTGTGTCGAGTGGCAACAAGTGTTCACCAAACATGCAGGATACACGGCACCGTCTTAGAATGTTGACATTTTTAAATTTCATAACGCAGTCTTCTAGCGTTGAAAGAAGGTCAAATGTCTATGCACCTCTATAAATGTAATTCCGTATTCAGTGGCACTTCTTAGTACATGCAACTGGATGGGATTTTATCTTTTACTTTTAACGTGTAATATGATTCGAGATTTTTCTTTATTTATATATAGAGAATAAAATATCACTAAACAATATTAATAAAGTAATCAACATTGTAAAAAAGAATTTAATAGATCTCTCTTAGAATTAAATGGAGAGAATTTTCAGACTGCCACTATACAACACTGTACTTTTGCAAAATCGAACGAAAATATGAAAGCATAATTTAACATTAAATACTTTAAAAAAAACTGAAAATACTCTTCTTTGACATTTTAAAGGTGAAATATTACACTAAACTTAATTTGTAATTGACGTACAGTAATGCTAGTAATAATAATTCGTTCTTAATATAAAAATATATTGAATTTGGGGTGTCTTATAAATATTGACCGAATGCGTAAGACAAAAGACTGTAGACGGTCGCGTCTCCAAGTCTGCTCAAGGCAATTTCGTACCAAATGTCGTTCTGTACGTGCCCTACAAATAAAGAGCATGGAATGAGGCCCGGATAAGTTTAGGATCTGTTAGTTGGCAATAAGGGCTTTGTCAGGGACGAAATTATCTCGGACTATATTTTCCGTAATTGCTTACTCTAGTGAACACATAACAATCTGATCCAACATACACAATTATTTAATTTAGCGCTTACATATAGTAGTAAAATCCCGTTTTCCCTTGTAGGGCATGAGGTGAACATATTTCTGTGTCCCTTTCACCGATCGGTTTTACTTACAGCCAAGTTAAGATCATTTGTTAAAAATTGAAAATCTGATCAACCTGCCTGTAAACAAATCCGATTTATGGAACGGACACAGAAATGTGTTCGCTCAATGCCCCACAAAGGCGACGGGATACGCCTTATTGAAAATTATTTTTCAATATACATATTTCCATCTATAGATATCTTAAACTTTATTTGCATATTACTAGTCGTTACTACTTTTGTAATTCCATTACCACAATTCCGTTACCAATAAAACGAGTCGGAACTGCCTGTAACGCCATTAACGCGCCAAGAAGCATAAATACGACACGAACAGGACCGAAAGTGAGATTTCCTCGTCCTAATCCATAGGTTATGGCCGCATTACAAAAAGCCAATGCATTTTCCCTTTTACCCCAATATCGCTGGCAGAGCTCGTGTCGAGCCGAATACGTGCTAATGTATTTTACGACCTACCGAACTCAAAACTGCCTCTGTCGATGTACGCATGATTTTCAGTCTTCACCGCGTTCTGAGGCCCTAGTATAAGTTTGGTTATGGTTTCTTTTAGTTTAAGAAGTGCTTCTAGCTAAAACTAGTAGTGCACACTTAAATAAAACATTTTTAACGGCTCAAATTGTAAAATATATTAGTCGGTTAGAGCAACAGCACGGAACTCTATGGATGACGGTTCAAGTCCTGCCCGAGTCGTAGATTTTTTTCAATTTATAATAAAATTTAAATATATTATTTGACCCTTGTTTATGATAGTAGCGAGCAGACAAGCACCCATGCTTCACAAAGTTTCACTTTTTGGATATACATAAACCCATAGACTGTGTAGTAAGTCGAAATAGGAATTAAGATAAGACTTATTTTATACAATCTTGATTTGAGATCAGAACATCGTAAAGCAACTGTCATGTCTGAAATCTGAAAATTCGACGAAATTTAATTGTTAATGTAACTCGTTCCACGAATTGTATCCAGTATAGATGGACAATGGTTTGTGACCCTGATAGAATTTCGATATTCCTCCCATTTCATATCCAGATTTTTGACAATAATTCTTTCAGAACGAGTAATAATTTCTTCAGAAAAATTATAAATTGATTTGTAACATATTGGACTCGGCGAAGATCGAAGATCGAACCTACCAGTTGATTATTGTTACATGGAAAAGTTCGTCAAAAAATTTGGCGTATCCACAACATTCCTTTTGTTATTTAAGTCAAACGAAACGCACACATTTGGAGGTATCTGTCTCAATCTTCACGTTTGGCTCGTTCAATTCTAGACGATGACTGAAATATATGGCTTCTCCGGCGGGGCGGGCGAAAAGCAATATTTCACAGGACGTATTCTTTAAACTAGCGATACCCCATGTCTATAGGTCGGTTATGCCACGCGAAGCGAAAACCTTAGGGGAGTATCTGGCTCAACTATTCAAAGGTGTTAGAATTGATGAGCTTTTAAAATGATTGGCTAAGGGTAGATAGTTTAAGATTACACAAATTATCATGTAGGTAAACGTGTTGCCTAACACTGAATTAAGCGCGAGGGGTCCGGAGTTTAATTCCTGGAGAAACAATAAATTGCTCCAGTCTTGAGTGAATAATCTATTGTTTATAAGTTTATTGTTGTTATCTATTCTTAGCGCGTAATTAAATGCTAGGCAAAATGTTTAACCATTTGGCTTGAAGGGAGTTTTAAATATTTGGGGTAACCTAATGTATATGCAGATATAAAACCTTGCAGTATTTGGTAATAGTAATTATTCGTATTTAGGTTCGAAGAAGTAGCTCGCAGCACTATTTACAGCGGAATGTTGTGTCGTGAGTGTCGGCACTTTGCCACACCTCGGCGAGGTTAGCATCCTTGAAAGGCCGCATTCCTCCACCGACGTCTATTTACGGTCTAAGCCCTCATTTTCTTCAACTACATACACAGATCACTTAAAATGGTTTTAAGTTAAATCTTAATCACGCTCAATCAAGGCATTTATGGAGCTTGATTTTACTTTTTTTCTGTTTACTATGTTTTTTATTTTCACTCGCGTATGGCACCGCTGTCCACACTCTAAGGTCTACTGAAAATCAGTTTCAGGTCAACAAAAAACCGGATATCAGCTAAGTAAGGTTATATTGTACCAACTAGCGGCACACATCATTATTTTATACTGTTAAAATTAAATTATGTTTTATTTTTATATTTAGTAATACGTCGTTTTTTGTTTTTGCATGGCTTTCGGTAGTAAATTTTTTTTCCTCTCTCGCATTAAAAGTGTATTGAGAGTTAAAATGATGTCTTGGATTATTAAAACTTATTATGACATTGTAAACTGAAACTCCGATAGTTTTCGATTCAATTTAAAATTTTAATTACTTCAATGTTTTGGAACGTCGACTATACAATAAATATATAGATGTATATGTAACAAAAGTGCTTTTTATGTGAGCTGTATGCATATAATTAAGAAATTTTTACTTCCACATTGTGGATGCTTGCGAAGTAGCATTGTTATGGAGCCCCTAATATTGGTAGGTATTCTAAATACAAAAATTCAATCTATACGAATATTATGAAACTAAGAAATATGTTTGTTTGAACACGCTAATCTCAAGAACCACTGATTCGAATTGAAAATTTATTATTGTGTCAGATGGACCATTTATCGAAGGCTATAAAATACCAATAGGAGTGAAGAAACAGTAGAAAATGTAGATAAATCGGGTAATGTTATTCATTTTTGAGGGTTTGCGCAAAAACGGTTCACGATTACTAAAAAATATGTATAAAATAGTTATTCTTCTGTAAATAATCTAAAAAGTATCTGAGACAGTTAATGTCCAACTTTTAAGATGAACTCACAAGCACCGTTTGTATGGTAATCTAATTTAGTCCAAATACTTCATGGCAAAAGAACGTTTGCCAGGACTAGTTGAGATGTTACGTAAGTTATTAGACAAATTAATTTCAATGCGTTTGAAATGGAACTCTGAAATATGTAGTCCCAGAATCGTTTTAAAACTTACCTTATATCACGGAGGCGCTACCATAATACACTCACATTCAATGGTAGTTTTAAGAATACTGCAATATATTTCCTGAGCGCATTTTAAAATGTCACCTTAGATTTAAAAGCTCCGGCGGGCGGGGACTCGGTAACGACTATCTCAAAAAAGGGAAACGTGGAAACGGAAATGCTCGGTTATTTTATGAAATTGCAGTTTCTTATTAACTTATAAAAGCCTTGGTGTTACACCTTTAAATTTGTCACTTCAATTCGTTCAAAATGAGTCGATCAAATTCAAAGTTATTTTTATTCTTTTACTTCTCATGCCCATTTGAATTTTTTATTAACTTTTGCTCTAACCAAGCGTCAGTTGGAGTTGATACAATAACACCAATCGATGCGGATGCCGCTTCGATTAGTCATTTTAACATAAATCATTCTCTAAACAACATGTACTTTTTGAATTATTCAAAACAAATAGATAACTTGTTCATATGACAATGAATACGCACACAAATGTTGTTATGGACACAATCTGTCGATCGAGACTGTAATATCAAAGACGCAAATAAACTAGACTCTAAATAAAAAATCGATATAAATGCTCTAACCAATTGAGCTACCGAGTCCTCGTCCACATCATCGTAGGATTTTTTTTTTATCTTATTGATACTCTCGCGCAATTATTACTTAATTTATTTTAGAGCAACAGCACGGAACGCTGAGAATGCTGGTTCAAGTCCTGGTCCAGTCATATATTACTTAATTTTTTTTATTTATATACATCATGTGTAAAATATTAAAGCTTTCAAACTTGATTCTTCTATTCCGCAGCCCGTTATAAAACCTGATAGTAATCCTGAGTTATATTAAACATTCTACTATCTTAACATAACATCTAAAATGGTGTGTCACACTGCTTACGAGGCAGCTGACCGCAATTTATTTGTTTTTGTACAACCCATCGTCTTATGATATACCGCCATAACAAATATTATGGAATATTGGATGGTTTTTCGTGGTCAATTGAATGTTCTTCTGCATTAGGTTTCGTGGGATTTATAACATAAGATCTGTTTTTGTTTCAGAATATTCTGGATAAATTCAATCCAGGCGCTCGTCAGATGATAACAGCTGGAAAAGCGTATTTGAAGGCGTTGCATGGTAAGTTTTCATAAATATTCAATATTTTAAAAATAGCTTAAATGTTGTCTTTAGCTTACGTACACAAATTAACAGTTTCGCCTTTAAAACATTAAAGTGTTATTTTACCTTAAATATCTTATTAAAATAGTAGAGTCAAAGAAAGAAAAATCTCTTTTAAACATTCTTCAGTACCTACGGTGACAAGCCTTCTCATAGACTTAAGCCTGTTTTAGTATGCCTCAAACATCTTTTTGACGTAATAAAAACTTTAAACATTAATTTATAAAACATATATTAGCTTTTTCATCTATTTTACACTAAGTATTGTCCAAATGTGACTATTACTCTTCTTCTATCCTTAAATCGAATAAGAAATATCTCTAGAGACATTATGAAATAAATATAACATTGAAAATTATTCCCGGATTATAAATTTACTAAAATTTCTGAAAGCTGTTTCAAAGTACTTTTTGACGGAAGTTCCGGTAAGGGACTCTGTAATTACTCATAAAACTTATTATTGGAACATCTTTATTATTTTAAACTTTATTGTTAATAAATTTCGCTTTAATTAACATATTTAGTATTAAACCCATGAACGTACTTTGTCCGAAGATAAAATCATTTCTATGTTTTCTCAAATGTCCTAAGGTCCTTTAATAGGCTGGCAACACGTCTTAATGAGGTTACAGGGCTTTTTCACCTTTCATCAAGGAGCCATCTCTTTTCTGAAAAAAAATATACAACTTTTGTAAATAAATCACATATTTCTTTATTACTCACCAAACATAATTTTTCTTAAGAACATTATACATAAAACACTTGCCAACGCTTTTAAAGTTTTGCATCATAATTTTAAGTGTGAAAATTGCATTTAAAGTGCTGTCTTTCATATCATTATTTACTACTCTCACATAAAATATGACATACTTGAGTGTGTTTCTTTAATGAATAGCGCCCATTCATATTGTATAAATGTTTTTTCTTTCACCCGTAATGAGCAAGTACTTTTTCGCGATAAACATTCTAATAAGAGAGATGAAATGTCAATAACATAGACTTCATTTAAGTTGTATAAATACGGACCGGGATTCAGAACCATGTCCAATTATTTTGAAGATAGCCTTGTAGAGATAGAAATAAAATATTACGTTTTTAACATTAAAATATAATTTAAAACTCAACAAGCGACATTTTAATTGAAACAAAATATTAGATCATTAAATAACACTAATTAATGGAGGTACTCGAAAATAATTTATATAGTGTTCGCCAAATGCATCCACAGTACATGCAAAATCCCGGCATTCGCTTGTTTGGCTTTGAAACTGGGGCATAGGGTGTGCCAAATTGTCTCCATGGCTTATCTGAAGCACTATGCCCGACGCAATAAAATTGCCCATTGTGTAATACGCTGGATGTCTTGTTTACTCACTTTTAAGAGATCTATTACCATTTAATTGCGTCGAGTCGAATTTTATGAGCCCAATGCTCTGTGAGCTTTGTTCGTTTAAAGACTTGTTTCAGTGTAATTTATGTGGGAAATCTTCAGTGGAAAATTGGCTTGACATTTTATTAGATGTTCTTTATTTACACATATGGGTTATTATATTTCGGAGATAGTTAGTGGTTTACAACTTAAGACAATATTGGTTATTTATATTAAGGCATTAAACATCCAAAATGTTGGATCGTAATAATAAATAATACTCCCGAATAATTAAATTTAGTACTTCTATGAGTATTTAAATAAAACACTTTAACGGTTTAAAACGCGATATATTAGTTAAACTTATATGAAAATGATTTTTAACTTCGGCCCGACGTTTCGTAGTCTCCCCGTGACCACGGCTGCTGGAAAGCATCCGAAACGTCGGGCCGAAGTTAAAAATCATTTTCAAATAAGTTTAACTAATATATCGCGTTTTAAACCGTTAAAGTGTTTTATTTAAATGTGTACTATTCGCGTAAACTATAGACAGTATTTACTTCTATGAGTACATAATATTATGTTGCTATATTTAATAATATAACTAAGAAATAAACCATTTTCTAAATTTGAATTGTGCATAGTATATAACAATTATTTCCTCGACCTTAGACAGATCTTAGATTAGTATGTCACAGATATGTCACTGTCAGCTGTCAATGTCACTTTTATCTATCGTGTGTCAATCTATCAATCTCTATCTATCATCTACAGGAGCTGCAGCAGCATCTCGAATGTACGTGGACGCTGTCGGCAAGTTGGGACGCCAAGCACAGCAAGGCACTTGGGGAGGATGTGCGGATATTGGTAAGATAGAACGAAACCAAGTAATAAAACATGGTTAGGATTTAAAAAAGTCGTATCTCATGTGACAGAACTTACAGATAAAAAATACTTCCTGTCATAAATAACATACTTTGAACAAGCTATAAACGCGGTGTATGAACTTAAAACAAAAATAGTATCTATCTAAATCTTTCTGAGTATTTTATGTATCGTAAGTATCGTATTAGAATTAGTGTATAAAACTACCCTGCATGTGTATTCTACACGAACGAATACAATCTATAAATGTACTCTACAGGAACTGCTTTGATGAAGGTCGTAGAGGTATACAGGGAAATTCAAGATCAACAAATGAATATAGTAAGTTTTTCTGTAGCTTTTTTATAAACATATTTTATTACGCTCTTCCTCCTTTAAGCATTTTATAGTTATTATTATTACAACTGTTTATGGACAAATTAATAGATTTCATTAAAAAAGTATGATGACAACAGTAACCAATGATTGGATATATATCAGGAAAAGAACGAATGTTGATCTCAATGTCTCGTGTTTAAGTGCAAAGTCGTAAAACATCTGTCATAAAAAACTTTTTCATTTTTTATTTCGGCAAAAGCGATAATCTTAATTTATTTGTTTGTTACAGCTGAAAGCGTTCTATGTGGACTTACTGGTACCCTTGGAAACTAATCTCGAAAAGGATACGAAAGTAGTACAGGTCGGTCAATAGGATCGTTTCTTTATAATCTTTTTCAAACGTGTCGCCGAATTGTTTACAGAATTACGTAACGAGTAGAATACAAACATTCAACATTGATCGGATAGACGAAATCTTTCTTTATTTGCGAATAAAACGATGTTTTTGTTTACAAAAGAAGATATGAGAGCTTGTATGAAATTGAACTCACGTTGATAAATACGTGTTTTTTTGTTACATGCGAAAAATAATGTATTATAAATTCGTACAGTTTATTATTAATTTTACATGGAAACGGTTTCAACAATGGTTGATGTAGGCTTTTTATTTCAGTCTGAGCAAAAGAGATTTCTACAACAACACAAACTGCGTTCCGAAAGCTACAGTAAGGCAGCTGCGACAATTAAAAAACAAAGAAAAAAGAAAACAAATGCGACCAAAGTTGGTTCTGCTATGGATAAAGAAATGAAGGTATAATGTCCGTAGTTGTAAATATGTATAATAGTGATGTACTATAATTACGGTTTAGAGAAAAACTATTTCGTAGTCTTCAAGTGAAAATTTTCTTTCGATTATTTTCCGAGCTACTCCGTTGTTTAATAGGGTATCCGTCCTAGAATGTTACTCATTTAGAAATAAATTGAAATTTAAATGAGACGTAAATCAAAGTGCTTTATAAAGACTTAAGACATTAAATAATAAGATTCTCTATTAAAGAAACTTTTATAACGACGTACCTGTGTAAGAGGTAATTAAAATCTTTCGTATATTTTGCAAGCTGCTCTTAAAAATATATTCATACCATTTGTTGTTGCACCATAGGAACATATTGCGAGGGGTTTTAACAACGATGATTAAGAAATAGAAGGTAAAGTATGCGTTTTTATTAATTTTTCAGAGCATGCAGATACTGGAAGAAGAAAAAACCAAATTGGACGCGTTCTGCGAACAGAGTTTGAAAAATGTTAGTATTACTTCATATCTATTAAATTAATTATAACTTTATCTGTTATACATACTAGACTGGTTCATTTCAGTCCACGGTTCGAATCCCAAATTGAGCATAGTGTTAGTTCGATATTTTTAAAAACAAAAATAAAATTATAAATAGGTATACGATTGGATGAATACGTTTGGTTATAATCACTTATTTAGTTGTGGTACGTCTGCCCCTACTGACGTTTAAGACAAGTCTGCTGTCTCTCTCTTATGTGAAAGAGGGAGAGAAAGAGAGAGAGAGATCTGTGCATATATATACATATACTTTTATAAAATAGTGGGATAAAATTTGTTTTATCACAGAGGGGACAAACTTGGGGTCTACTTGATGGAAGGTAAAATTTCTCAGTCATTTAACCCTGATCTTTCTGCAGACCGTCCAGACAAAAAATCGGGTTGGACTCCGACATCTTAATCCGATGCGCTAGCAACCTATTGGGTTTTGGATTTCAGAAATCCAATCACCGAAACCAAAATGCGATTACACGTTACGGCCATATGCATACGGTGGTTCGATTACGGAATTTTGTCATTCCTACCACCCATTTAACGACCAGATTATCCAGACGAAGTCCAACATGTTTCAAAATTATAAATTGCTTTTAAGAAATATGTTGGACCGGATAGAAAACGAATCTACGACCCGTCAAGTCATGCTTTGAGACCATAGAAACAACCAGCTATTTTAAAATCTTTCAGGCTATGACCCAAGAACGACGTAGATATGGCTTTGTCCTGGAAAGGCAATGCTCTCTGGCGAAGCATTGGCTCGCATATCATTCGGCTGGTGCTAACGCCTACAACACTGGTCTGGAAGAGTGGCTAGAAGTGTCAAGAACACGTGAATACTTGCCTCCTAATGTCGAGGCTATGTTTGTCAGCAGGATGAGGGTAAGTGCCTTTAGATAGCGTATTCTTGTTCAATCATGCCATTTAATTTTTACCTTAACTTACGTATTAAGATCGTCAAATTTATAGATTTTTATTTTATACAAGTTGCGTCTTGTTCCGCGTTGTATATTTATTTTGGGCATCAAAATTTGATTTGCAAACGTTTTCTTCATCTTTATAAATTAAGGTTGTTAACCACGACGTCGTCCACGTTCCGTCGTTCTTGCAAGTTAATCATAAAATATATTGGGGCAGACAATTTTTTAGATCGTTTAAAGAGGCATCATTTTTTTAAACTTATTTTTTATCTTGAACCGTTTTCACAGTGTACGCAAACCGACAAAGTTGAATAATTTTTATAGTTTTTGCCACATTTTCCGCTGTTTTCTTCGCTCATATTATTCACAGCGTGATGTTTGAGCTTATAGCCTCGATAAATCTTTTAATAAAAACAAAAATAATTATTCATTTTGAACCTAAGATTAGCACGTTCAAACGAACTACCATAATATATTGTAGTAATCAATATCTTTATAGCAAGTTTCATTCTGGGCTGATGAAGACGTCTACGCGAGTCCACGGAATGGTGATGACGATGATCGTGCTTCAGTTGGTTCCGCTCTTCGTAAAACTAGATCTGTCGACGCGTCATGCTTAGACGTGCGTTCGATCGCAGACTTAGGATCGCCAAGTCAGGGAATCTCAAGAGCCAAATCCGATTTGAATTTGCAAGCGAGCTTACACGCTTCGGAACAAGGTGATTTTGACTTTAAAATGCTTTCACAAGTCTATGCATTCTACTGTAACTTTTTTATTGGATATTTGGATAGAGTTTACTTAATATTGTTTGTTAGATCTATTTAATCATATAGTTTTTCTTTATAAAAGGAATAATTATCAATTTTACATGATATTTGTACGTTAAATTTTTCTAGTCTGTAATTCCAAAGGTCTTTCCGGAACCTCTTAACTTAAATATAAACTTAATTTTGTTGTAGTTACTAAAGTTTAAATTTGGAGTTTTACGAATCGTTTGTTTGGAAATATATATTAAAGCGTATATAATTGTTGCATTTAAATTTTTATTTTGTATTTTTCTTTTCACTACTTATGGAACATTCCAAAAAAATAATTAGTAGGACAACGACAATGAGTTGATATTCCATCTACGTTATGAAATTCCTCCTAAAGGTTTATTTGACTCCAACATATGATTATAACAATAACAAAATGTCATCAAGTTCAAATTCAATTATATCTAACTGACAATTTTCTCCAGACAATGATATACGTACAAACACCCGGCCAACATCACTTGCACCTCCAACGTGTACTTCCCGAGACCCACCTCTCGCCAGAGCTCTATATGCTTATGCCGCAGCTGGAGATAACCAGCTAAGTTTTCAACAAGGGGATGTATTGGCATTGCTAGGAGACAGGACCAAGGGTTGGCAATATGGAGAAAATTTGAGAACGCACAGCGCTGGCTGGTTCCCTTTGGCTTATACGGAACCGATAATTAATGATGAAATTATGTAAGTGAATACACATTTAAATAAAACACTTTAACGGTTTAAAACGCGATATATATTTGTCTCCCCGTGACCACGACTGCTGTCAAGCATCCAAAACGGTAAGTAAGTTTCAAATAAATTTAACTACTATATTTCACGTTTTAAACCTTTCAATTCTAGTGTTTTATAAAAATTTTGTAAGTAGTATGAGTTTATTGTTTTTGAGTAAGCCAGAAAATTCTATTTTCTTATTACAATAAGCCGCTATATCTAGAGCGTTAGGTATAAACCGTAGATGAAGCTATTATAAATATACCACTACGAAAATCTTATTTCAGTGGTAATTCGCCAGCACGATGGAGCTGTGCACAGACTCCGAGTGAGACGCCGCCGCCGGCGCCAGTCGCTCACACCCAATTGTCCACCACGCCATCAGGACACTCGCATTCCCATCCACCCACACGCATGTTCGGCGACACGGTGACGGCGCATCTCGTCGCCAAGGTAGGTCTTTACCTTCATTAAATCGCCGTTGTAGAATATTTCACATTAGTAAATAATCATTTGACATCATGCTAGATATAAATTCTAAAGTAATATTTCCTTCACTAGGGTCGCCTCGCTCCTTCATCGCCGGGACTTCCACCTACTTTACCCGCCCCCTCACCAAATGCTCTGACTACATCGGCAAGTGCTACTTTCCACTCCACGCCTTCTGGAGCGAGCAGTGCAATCAAGAGCTCTACATCAGCTGCTAATTTCACTACACACGCTGTGATTGAAACAAGAAGTTTTGGGCCACAAACCCTCCCATTGCGATCGCAGGTGACTGTGTAGTCTTGGTGAATAAGTTTTTCAAACATGTTTGAGGGTATAGAGTTAACCTATTATATTTTTGCTCAGATGACGCAAAATAAAGCACCAGCAAAAACAGTAGTGTCAGCGGTTGGAGCAGTTGGCAATGTGTCACTCCACAGCTCAAATGACTCTGGTTTCTCGAATGAGCCACCACCACAACCAGATATAGATTACAGCGACGAAGAAGCTCAGCGTCTGCGTATTCCCATCAGGTAAATTTTAATAAGCTAGTTAGAAAGTTGAATTGCTTGATTAAGTTGCTCCTTTTGATATTTTGTTTATTTGTATTTATCGCTATATTTTTAGTTTATTTTGTTTCATTTTTATTTTATAGTAAATCTGCCCAACTAAACAATGACAACAGAGCCTACTTATTAAAAACACAAAGTTTGAAGCGCGGTCCCAGGCAGAGTACTGCGAATAATGGATATCTAACAGACGATCAACAATTGCTTTTACGTAACATGTTAGACATGGACAAGGATTCTCAAAAAATAAAAAGAACAAAGTCATTTTGGAAATTTGGTCGCACTACTTCCGAAGAAATAATGGAAGGAATGTCCTTATGGCAACATCGCGATATTGTGGACACCGTACCGGAATATAAAAAGAAACTTTTTGTCAAGTTGAAAAAAGAACTAAGACCAGCGCCCGATGTTCCAGAACCAAGAAAACAAGTTGGTACAGAAAAACCAACTCTTAATGTAGAAAACGTTCAAAGACCACAAGAAACAATCGATAGAAAAGATGTTAAGGTCAATGGCATGCGGCAGGCGCGTAGCCTAGGTTCTATACAAGCGCAAGAAGAAAGAGTCGAAAAAACAAAGAGAAGCCAGGACAATGGTTATCATCAAGCGCAAATGAATAAAAAAAGTATGTCGGAAAAGTCCATTGTCGAAGAAAAGCCAGAAGAGTTTGACCAAAGAAATGAATCAAGACATTCAGATCTGACAAACACAAGTACAATTAAAACAAACTTCGAAAACAGCTTTTATAACGATGAAAATGGTGATGGTTTTGTTATGAAAACCGTAAAACGTCGTGAAATTCTACAAAAGTATGACAACGATAGCAGCTCCGATGTAAATTCTGTTGCTTCTAGTACTGATCCTTATGACTGCATTATTGTTGATGATCATATGACATCAAAGAAGCAACAAGAATTAGATCGTCGTAGGCAAGCTCAAGTTATGGAAAAAGAAATAAAACTTAACAAAGAAAATGCATACATGCCAGAGTTTGATGAAATCGAAATAACTCCAATAAAACCACACGTTAGAGCTACATTATCTTCTGAGAAAAATAAAAAAACATCACATGACAGATCCTCGCCTAAAACAATGGAATTTAAAACATTCAAAGATAATTCAAAAGAAATAAAAACATTCTCAGCTTCATCTGAAACGTTGAAATACAAAGACAATGAACATCTTACTGATCGCTATGGAATTCCTTTAGAAAGAAATAATAATGAAATTCGTCAAGAGGAAACATACAACGGTCACGATGACGGAACTTTAAAGTATAAAAAACGTTCAAACGAAGAGAAGAACCGTCAACAAAATAACTTTGATAATATGAAAAATAATAAAGACTATCCTAAAGCTGAAGTCAGAAATCAAAAGAAAGATAGCAGACAGTTTGAATCGCGAGAACCGAGAATCGATTATTCGCTAGATAGGCGTCACAGTAAGAAAGAATTTTCAGAATCTAAAAATCGCGAAGTGAGATCGCGAAGCAGGATCATCAGAAGTTACGATGACAGTTCATTACAATATAATGGAAGAAAAGAGGAAAGGTATTACGACACCAATATATCGTATTTCAGTGACCAGGAGAGGCGTGCATCTAAATACGACTACGAAACGGATTCCAAAAAAGCAGAGAAATCAAAAATGAGACAGGAGGAAGCGCGACTAGAAAGCAGGAGATTCGCCGACCAAAGAAACGAGAGCCAATATAGTGAGTCGGATGATCAGAAATTTAACGAAGCCTTGAAACAACAAAGGCCGCAGTTATTACCCAGAACAAAGTTACTTAAACGCCCCACGGAAGGGCCCGAATTACCTGAAGACGGTCATACGTTTGGACCGTGGTACGATTTATGGGGTCGAGAAACTGCCATGTACAAGTAATTGTAGGCCTATTTCATCTGAGACCCTTATAACACAAACCATTGTCACATATTTCATTTTATACGAGTAGTTTTTTCGTAGGCTTGCACGACTCCTTTTCTTTGAAGAGTTTATTATTTTAACATTATTGTTTTTTTATTATTATTATTCTCTGTGTAACATATGTATTTGTTGTTAATGTTAATTAAGCGTAGGCTAGAATAACTTTTAAATAACCATATTTGATGTTATTAATTTTTGATATATTTTACTATTCCAAATGAAATCTAGTTATGATCTAGTTTTATATTCTGTATGATTAAATTGATTATCAACTTCAAAATGTTATTAAGGCATCGTTTTATTGATTATTCTTAATTTATTATTCACATTCTCTCACAGGCCGCAGCAATTCGCAACCGTAAAGCTAAGAAAGACTTTAACAAACGACCGTTCGTCCCCAGCCATTGATTAATGTTTTATATATTTTATTATCATTTTGTTATAAATATTCTATATGTAAATTAGAATCACTCGTATTTTGTACAGTTATTCATAGTTTAAGAGGAATATATCACAATTTTTACAATAATGTCTAGTTTTATTTATACCTGTACTGTGTCACGTAGGACCACCGCTATTACAATTACAATTTAGTAACTTTTGATTTTCCACGAGTTTAAACAATGTTAAACGAATAGTAGAAATAACCTAAAAAGGCCTTAATATCTAGATAAATTCTTTCCTAGAATATAAAATTGCCGATACTTACGGAATCACAAAACTTTAACCTTTCGAAAAGCCTGTCAGAACAAACACCTGCACAACGGAGAACGCTTGAAATGTTATTTTCGAAACTTACTAGGAATGAAAGAAAAATCAATGTCAAATTGGCCCTTCGGGACAATGGGCGATGATTTATCACATTTCCCCGGCTTATGGGTTTTCCTTATGGCACTCAACGCCAAGATGTTACGAATAAACATTTATTTTTCATACTTCCTAAAAAGTTGTCAGGACTCACTCAGAGTTATTATGTAAGGGTATAAAACTATTAATATTCACAAAGTAAGGTGTTTTCTAAATTGGTTTAAGAGGCTTTGAAAGTTTTAAAACTACGTTATTTAATAAGTTATAATTATTAAGCATAATATATGTTTTACCTATAGATATACATTTACATCTCTATTCTATTTCTATCTAGAAATGTGTAGTGTAGTTGGTTAGACGCATTGCATTAGGAGCGACCAGGACACAAATCGCAGCGAAAATACAAATTAAAAATGGTTATAGTATAACGGACTAGTTGGTTTAATAGTAAGAGCGTAAGACTATAACCAACGAGTCGTGGGTTCGAGCCCCACCGGGTTCAACATGTATAGTCAAGTTATAATTTCCTGAAATTAAAGTAGGAATATCGAAATTCCGTCCGGGTCATAGACCACCGTCCAAACCGTCTGTTTCGGATTTAATGTGTGCAGATCCAAAGCAAACATATGTCGTAGCTTTACAAATGTTATGGTTGGGGGTTTTTCCATCAATCCCCATGCTTGTCTGTTCATTTATCATAAAAAAAGTCGGACAATGCAAAGGAAATAAGTAAAATAGGCACAGATATAAATCCGGAAACGGAACTTCACTCTTCTTATAAGCTCATAAGTCTCAAAAACAATTTGTTTATGTAAATGTATCCCATTCATGAATTCATGTAACGCATCCACAAAGCAAACAGTACACGCGGAATTCGGAACAAACGAAACACTATTATGCTCGGGAAGATTTTGTCTCTACGTTCAACTCACTAAATCTCGACTGCGCTAAAGTGGGCTACATAAGCGGCAAAGTTAATGTCATTCTTATACCCGAGCTCATCGCTTTGGAAACTTTAGCTACAACTGGCGGGAGAAGCGAATTAATTTACCTAGTTGGGTAGTTGAATATTAGATGTATTGACAGTTCACGCAATCAAATCTACGACTGTCAACCTTGTAAATGGAGCCGCGAGTATCTCTTTATTCAATATTTCTAAACCACTCTTACAATAAAAAATATAAATAAAGACTTAGTTTTGCTAACAGTTGAGTTTGCGTATTTTTTAACCGTAACAAGTAGGTTCCCATTTCGATTTGTATATAAGGTTTATTTGTATATGTAGATGTTTCCAAGTCGATTTAATAATAATAATTTTAGAAAGGCATCATTTAGTGCGTTTGTAAGTTTTTTCATTAAAATCCCTTAAAAAACAGCATTTAAATAAGGGTGAACTTTAAGAACTTTATTTTTCACGTGTTAATGCACATAATGACACAATATAAAACTTGAACCACACAACAACAAAGACTCGATAGTTCAATTGGTTAGAGAAACAGCATGGAACGCTGTGGATGCCAATTCAAGTTCTGAGCTAATCATAAATCTTTTCAATTTATAATTGATTTTTAATTCATAAGGGTGAACTTCAAAATGATTTAAAAAAAAACTTTTGGATTTAACTAAATTCGAAATACGTATATTTTGCATGTTTTTATTATTTATAGTTGCCAATCTTTATGTTTTGAAATATATAGTATGCATTTAAATTTACAAGTCTCGAAAGAAATATGGTTTTGTATTTCACTGCCACTCATCGCTCTGCAAAGGGCAAGGACCAAACGTGCTGCAGGAAGTCCGACTAGATTTCACTCGTCAAAGAAACCCACGCGTCGTTAGAGCTACAGACTGAATGCCTAAATGTCTTTGACTTCTCACAAACGAGTAATAAATAAATCCAGGTTTGCTATGCACTCTTAGAAAATATAAGATTTACACACAGGCAGATATAATAAGTAGAACTAAAAAAAATAGGGGCATATTTTTTACTTTGACGCCAGGGACATCCTCCACCTTTCGTCGTTTCAGTTTCAGTCTGTGGATTTCCGAATATCGGAAGCAAAAATAGGCCGATAGCGCATCTTGTCAGATGTTATATGGCTGAAGTATTGTACCTTCGATCTAATGAACCTTAGGCTTGTCTGTCCTCCTCCATGAAAAAAAAAATAAAAGCAATCAATTGCTTGCATTTTATTTACATTAGAATTGTATATTTTGCTTTTGGCTGTTAAATATAGCTGAGAGCATAATGCAATGATTCTTCTGGTCTATTTAGTGAATATAAATTTATTTAGTGGTGGTATAAATATGGCTCTTCTTTTTCTTTTTGCTATATACTTTTGATTTTATTTACCGTTTTCGTTTTTATATTTATGACTATATAGTACAATTCTTTGTATCTATGACATACGGCCTTATTAAAAAGAGTATTCAAAGAAGATATAACTACTTTTAGCATTAAAATTTTACTACTGGATAAGCCAGGAATAAAACCGACACTAACAAAAGAAACCTTAAAGAATCGCGGAGCCGACATAAAATCAAATTCAGTGCAAATCAGTTGGGAAGCCAATGTTTTCCAAGCCATCGATTTTCTTAAGCTCGTCGACCTGGAAAGAGCCACAATTAAAAAAAACACATCTGGGTTTCGTATTATCCCGCTGTGAATGGAAATGTCAAATAATTCCGCGTATTAATAACATTAAGTAATATGCAATATTTGTGTCCTATATTGAAAGATTGAACGCCTCTGGTTAAACGTATTTCCTAGCATTGCGTTAAGCGCGAGAGGTCCTGGGTTCGAATCCCAGGGAAACAAAAAATTGTTTCGGACAGGCAGGGCACAGAAGTCTGATCAACTACTTGCCTGTTAAAGAACGGATCAGCGAAACGGACACAGAAATGTGTTCGCCCCACGTCCCAATAGGGGAAAACGGGATTTTACACACTTATTGAAAGATTTGTTAATTTAAATACAGTTTACAGCACTCGGAGCTTAGAAATTTCTTAAGGAATAGGTTACAAACCTTCTACGTTAGTCTACATTTCAAATTCGATTTGGTCGAGCGTTATTATTTAAAACTAAAATTGGATTATTTAAGGTTGAAAGTGTTTTAAATACTAAGTGTTTATTTTTAGAAGAACAAAGAACTAAGCTGTAAATAAATTTGCAATTGAATTAATCAGTAACTTAAAATTTAAAGAAGTAAAGTAAAATTTAAAGAAGGTTATTTTAAGTATTGTCAAATTTAAACAAAACACAATATAGTTTTAATATATTATTTTTATAATTTAACTATTAATATTTACAAAGTAAGGTGTTTTAATAAAACACTTTAACGGCTTAAAACGCGATATATTTTAGTTAAACTTGTTTGACATTTATTTTTAACTACGGCCCGAGGTTTCGACTATGGATTCCAATAAACAGCATACCGGCAAAAGCGAAGACACCGTGAGTCAATTCTGCAAGGACCCGGCCAGTTTCGCCAAATACCAAGTTTGACGGAACAGATGGCGCTAGCGTAGCAAAAATTGCTACTTTGACGTTAGAGACATCATCCATCTTTAGTCTACTGCAAAGCATCCGAAACGTCGGGCCGTAGTTAAAAATAATACTCAAACATGTTTAACTAAAATATATCGCGTTTTAAACTGTTAAAGTGTTTTATTTAAATGTATACTACTCGCGTAAACTACAGACAGTATTTAAGTAAGGTGTCTTATATAAATGGTTCTAAAAGTCTCTGAAACTTTTAAAAGAAGTACATCAATTTTACTACGTCATTTTTAAAAGTAAGTCACGTTTTTAATCGTTAAAAGTGATTTATTGTTTTATTTTATTACACCCTTGGTGTTTATGTAACAAGTAGATGGCAAAGAAACAAAAAAAAACTATAACTTACGCGAGACGTTAAAGTACGTGTTTCGAGGTGTTAGTGTAAAAATTACTCTTAAATACACGAGCAAAAGTCTGTCGGTCTGCGGTTGCAACTGGACGCTATTAACGACGGCAAAACAAAAGTCCGTAGACTGCAATGTTTGCCCGAAAACTCCGAATCTAAATAAAAGTAATTCAGACAAGTGGTGGCGGCTCTGCTCGAAATTGGCGGAGTTCTAAGCGCTGCTGGGATTAATTGCGTACTTCGAGT